GGTGTGCTAGCACCTGAGAACTGAAAAATGACATTAACTCACATACATTGTCAGTGAGATTGAGAAGGGAATGAATTGTTTACAAAGCAGTGAAGAATAAAAGAGAAAACAGGAGAGGAAAAGAAAATGCATTTGAGAGTACAATGTATATACAAAAAGGTATACATGACTACAAATAGTAGAAGAAAATAAATCAAGTGAGGACATAAAAAGGGGAAATTAAGATAAAGGAAAAGCACAGTTTTCAAATTCACATATGTTACATGAAATTATATTTAAGCCCTGGCATGCCTGCACTTAATTGTGTCGTACGCATCTGCTCAGGCTATCCACGCAACCTCTGCCATAAATCTTGAGCTGCACCCTGACACTCATGAATTCAGCTCTCATCCAGACACAGCTTTTGCTTAGAGTTACTAGAGCTTCACAAGTAGACATTGTGTCTTGGCCACCTGTAGCCTGAAGAAAGGGAGAGAAACTGAAGGAAATTATTTACTTCAGACAAGTATAAGATGATGAATTCAGTCCAAAAAGAGAATCATTTGACCAAGTATGTGTCCTTGTTAACAGCCTCCAGACTGGGTCAAAGTACTCCTTGGCCTATTCTGGCCTTGCAATATGTTCCCTGTTACATTTCTTATATACTGTTCTGCAGCATTTAGAAAAATAATAATTGGGCTCTTGGCATTTATCTCTGAGAATTCTGGGGAACATTTTGAGTTCTTGAAAAACACTTGATTTTGCTCCTTTCTAGAGTCCTTAAAGGGGTTATTATTACAAGACAGAGTGTTATGACTTTATCTTATCTGTGGTTCTTGAACAAGACTTACAGTTTTAGACTGATAAGGATACCTTCACCACAGGATAAATACTGGACCATTTCAACAGCTAAAGGATACCTTTTATCTATAAAATGTTCATAAAATTACAGCTAGGAAGCAAAAAAACCAGACTTATGGCTAGCTTATTACAACCACATTTTTAACCATGCCTTGTAAATTGAGTATTTTTCCTGTAAAAACATCCACTACACACTGGGAAATACTCATCAGTTTATTGTACTCAACAATAAGTGTATGTATTACTTTAAATTGTACAAGACCATCAATCACAGCACAGTCAAGCTATTAAAGCTAAAAAAAGTCAACATCTGGATTTCTCCAAAAAGCAAAATACTATGGATACTGTTGACTGACTACAGTAATATGTGTTATTTGAGAAGGTTCATTAAAAATAGTTCTGTTATTCTTAACTCCTAATACCTATGTTTAAATGTTTTCACCATCAAATTGCCAGTGCTTCAGGAAATTGTTACTGGGAAGAAGGCTGTCATAAACACACCATTTGTGGGGGGAGGGCAGGGAAAATTACCTACCTGTTATAGTGACTTTCTTCTAAGTAACAAAACCCGCTCTTACATGATATCTGTAAAGTAGCAAGAGAATTATTTGACTCTAACACAATATGGGGACAAGGCCACAACTGTCACCAACATGGTAATATCCACCATATAACTACTGTCATCTCTTCACAGGCCAAGGGAGATACTCTTGCTAATTTTATTTCCTTTTCACTTACCATTTCTGTCCTAAATAAATTAATCCTTCATTGACACCGATGAATTGGCATGAGCCCTAACATAAACACAGCAATGAGTTTTCCTGAGTATATCCAAGTCCATCCCTTCTTGCCCTCATTCAGAGTTGGGACGCCTGAGTCCTGAAGCAGTTTCATTCACTCCATAGCTATGCTACCAAACTTTCAAGAAAAAGAAACTGCCCATATAATCCCTACTCAAAGTTTCCCTTCACTCTTTTTGCCCTTGACAATGTGGCAGCCACTTGCCATCCCTGGAACAAGAAATGGCCACCAAGCTGTCAGCAAGAGAATACTGATTTAATTAATGCTGTGACTTTATCAATTCTGTCTTGTCAGTAAGAATTAATAATCAGCCCTAATAATCCTAAAATGTTAATCTACTAGAAAGTACCTTGTTTTAACCTATTAATATTATTCACATTGCAAGATCACCTAGAAATCACACCACAAAGTGGCTTCCATTGTTCCAGCCAGCTTAATTCATTGCAAATAGTGTAAGTAAATAACAATAAGCGACCTCCTGTCCAAAAAAGGGTTGAATAAAAACCCAACCAACACCAAAGCTGATACAATTTAGGGAAAATTGTGATGTTCTACCCTTCATTCACCTGAGGAAAGAGGGATAGTGCAGTTATCAGAAGGAAGATACCTTCTGTGACGTTTCCAGAATGTTTTGGAGAACTGCCACAATACCATTAGCAGTTATTCATATTATAGGTGCACATGTAAATACACAGGCCCAAGAAGCAAAGGTTCTGGTCAACAAAGCAGCGGTATACAAATTACAAGAATGCAAGACTTTCACAACACTTAGAAGTCTTTTATCGACTTTCTACCTTTCATTTCTCACCCTTCTAACATGCTACTCCCTGCAACAATGCAGTATTTCCCATCAGTCAATCAAAAAGGCAAACAACTTGAACAAACAGTGCCCCAGACACTGATTGAAAAGAAGCACCATGGAGTCCATCCAGCACAGGACATGTGTAGAACAGACAAGGAGACACACACAGCTGGTGATTAAGAGAAAACTAGAAGTCATGGAGATAAGAAAATCCCCCCTGCCTACAGCAATACCTATTTTCTGATAGGTAATTTCTAATACAAGACAAACAGATCTAGGCATCACAGAGTGGCAAAAGGGACAGACTGGACCTGAATACCTGTATTCTTGAAAAGATTAACCAATCCCTCTCACACCCAAAAAAACCCTAAGTGAAGGTAAACAAAGACAGGACAGAAGGTACATTTAATGAAAAAATGCTTCCTGGCAGCATCTAAATTTGAAATTGCTTTTGGGAATGACACCTCAGCTCTCAACCTCAATTAAGGATTCAGTACTTCTAAACAAACATACATTTGGCATCTGTTTCTCCACCCTTTTCATTCAATTCTGAAATAGCTGTAATGCCAGTACCCAGACCTAATAAACAGGCTTTACTACCTTCAGTCTCCACCTCTATTCCTCATCTCTAAATTTTCCATTACATGTTGAAATGCACTTCCATAAATAGTCTGGCAAACAGAAGACACAGAGTTACTTTCAAATGAACACCTCTGCAGGGCACCAGAACTAAGGACGGAATAGATCGTCTTCTGGTTTCCAGATAATCACCAGATTACAAATTGCAATATTCTTTGATGATGCCAAGACTATTTTGAAACCATATAATTTTTTATAAATCTGTTTTTGAAACATATTCTACTATTGCTTCATTATTATGAACTTCATTAGAAAATTCTACGTATTGGAAAATATATCATAAACATCACATTTGTTGGGCATCAAGAAATATACTAGTATAGTTTGGATATTATCTGAATTCAGAGTACTTTATTTTTGAGAAAGCGTTTTAAACAGGTAATGGCTTCCTAAGGGGAATACTATCATATAAAAATGCAATCAAGCAACTACACTGGCAACAGAGCTGTCTTCTGCACATGATCCAATACAGTTACTTGGCATTACTGCATGTCTCAGACTTTTTGAAGCATCACTAATGGTGATGTTTGCGCACTTCCCATACTGCTTAGATGTGAGCACTTACGTTCTGTCAGAAATGGTGGAATCAAGCATGCTTCCAAGTGCCTGTCCCACCCACTTCCCAATTCCAGTTTCAAGTAAGACCCAAAGCCATATTGTCCCTTCCCACCTACCAGCCTGTATTTATGTAGAAAGAAAACCTAGGAACAGAGATCAAAAAGAAACCATGGTGTTATCTAAACAGAGCACAATTCCAGCTTATGATGTGGCACACATTCAAGGTCCAGTTAGCTACTGCAGATAACTCTGTGGCTAAAGAGTTACTGGGCAACTAGGGGGAGGAATAAATGACCTGTACATGTATTTTCCAAAAAAAAAAAAAAAAACCAACCCCACAATGTTACAACATACAGAACCTCTTGTATAAACTGCATGTTTTATTAACACAGCTGTACAGTTTAAGCAGTCAAGCTTTGTGTCTGGCATCACTTAAAATCCCTGCCATTCCTGCTCGGGCTGCAGCTCAGGTTCAGGAGGGTGGGCAGGGAGATGGATCTGTCCTGTCTGCAGTCTTCAGCCCAGCTCTGCTGTCTGGGCCTGAATGACCACAACTCTCACTGCAGCCATCAGGCTACTATCCAAAGTTCACTGCAGGCATTAAGCTCACCAATAACTGTGCCACCCTTTTACCTTATGGCTGGACTCGACTTCATTTCCTCTCTATGCCTCAACTAGTCTTTTTCACGATAGATGAGGATTTCAAGTGTAAACTTTCAGAATTGAAAAACTGACCAGATAAAATAACTAATTCTATTACCAACCAGAAAACTAAAAAAAGTTCATTTTAGCAATGGAACACTATATATGATAAAATAACATATTAAGACATCTAAAAATACTTACATTAAAAAAAAATATTTCAACTGACCTTACTTTAAAAGCAGCATGAGAATTAAAAACCTTACTGCTAAAGTGTTCTAAATTATTATGTTCAAAGCAGACTATTCCTTCATCTAGTACAAGTCAGCTTCATGCTAGGAAAATAACCAATACAATAAAAACTGTAAATTATATTCTAGACAAATATATAGAATAGCCAGTTCATATCATCGCTGACAGTCTGGTACATGTCAAAGACATTTGATTTTGTTGATCTCAGAATATGTATGGCAGCCTTGAGAATGCAAGAAGTTCTTCAAAACAAGTATCATACAGAATTTGGATCAGTAACAAAATATGAAAACATTATGAAAAAACGACAAAGCACAAGGGAAAAAAACTATTATGCAGCCAATACTTTCAAAACTACCCACCCACTTGTAACTGGCAATGTTTAAGTCATAGAGATAAAAATGTCTGCCCAGAAATGACATGTGAACTGAAGGCTAAAATGTAAGAAAAAGAGAAAAATGCTTACCTATGAATAGAAAAAGAAGCAATGGATCTAATGAGGGATGCCACTGCTCCAACTTTAGCAGCTTCCACTGCTCCCTGTGATCTGTATTGCACAGTTTCACCATAACTGATGAAAGGTTCATTGTAGACAACAATCTTCCCCTTGGCCTCCTGAGCTCTTTTGTGCAGTTCATCAAAAGAGGCTACCACTATAACTTCCGCCGTAATTCCTGAAAGAAAGTATTACAAGTGTCTTTAACATCACTTTCCTATAACTCTCTTACAGCCAGTTTTAACAGACAGACAAGCATGGACTGTGAATACAGGAAATCAGATTTAACTTCCTAATGGCAAAAGAAAACTATGTGAAATGCTTCATCAGGAACTGGTACTAAATAGCTACAATAGCACCCTGAACCAAGCACACACAGTTCTGCAAACCATGCTGTCAGGTTGGTATTCAAACATAACTTGAAGGGCAAGGATACACAGGGGGAATTCTGTTCTCTGCATGTGCTTTAATGCCTCACTGCAATCATTTATAGTACAAAAACATTTGCAAAAGCTGCCTATGGGATTAGTAAAAAAGATAGTAGTCTTTTCATGGAACTGTTTTGATGTGTTGCTTAACAACATAAGACAAGTGGAAGCACGTATTCTTAGACTGAAACACAAAATTATTTAATCCATAAATTAAATTAAATTAAAGCTCTGCAGTTTTGAACAAATTTTGCAGTACGCTTACAAATTTTTTAAAAATCTTCATGTTTACTTCAGGAGAATACCACAGTTCTACTATATTTCATAGCATTTAAAAAGTAATTAATTAAAATAACCACTATCCTTAAAATGCAATTTTGTTGATTGGTTACAGAGATAAATAGAAACTGCTTAACAACATGGGCTGGTACTTCTAAATATTGAAGAAGTAATGGATGCCTAAAATTTTAGTGTTGTATGTTTCACCTAAAAGCCACAAAATATGTCAGTGAAATCTAAAACTAGTAACAAATGTCTAGCAAGAATTTGTCAAACTATCATGTTTTTAAGAAGAAACTGTTACTCCTTTGAAGTCATCTTTCTCTTTTTTTTTTTTTTTTGTGGTGTAAGAATTATTTGGAGATTTCAAAGGCTTATATCTGAGACTGTAATACATGAGAAGGACTGATAGAAAAATAGAAAGATCACCTCTTCCAGCACCTGTGTATCCAGGCTCATGGCTCCTTTAAGATCAAACTATAATACACTTCAAAACCTTAAAGAAACTATTTCACACACAAAAAAAGTTTCATTCTTTAACAGTGCACCACTAAGAGGGCAAGAGACATCTACTGCTACAGCAAAAGCCTGTAAGTTTTAGATACAGAACTAACCTAGCATGAGAGGTGTAAAAATTTTAACTGAATAACTGTTCAGACTCTCAGCTTTACAGAAAGAGGCACAAAGAGACAAACCAGAGAATCACCTTCAAATTTTACTAGTTGCTGTTGGCAGGTAGGAGAGTGTGCTAACAGACTCCAGATGAACTGCAGGTTCAGTTGCCTACCTAAGGAGCATCCCCGCAACAGGATCATTCTGGGTATGGAACTGTGCCACTGGAAATAAAGCCAGGTATCTGAAAAATTTTGTTTTCCGCAAGAAAAGTCATAGTCTCAGTAGGTTGATGCTGCAATCCGTATTTCATATTAGCTCTCCCCAATGCTGCACTTGGATTTTGCAGCAGGCACTGGAAGGGCACACGTTGTATTAGTGATTGTTTGTCAAGGGAAGCAAGGAGTGTAACTCTTCTTGACTTTATTGCATTAATGAATAAACACCAACTCTGGATGGTTTTTAAAGAATGCTACAGACAGCTAGTAACTATCTATAATCCCTAAGAAATATCACAGAGAAGTACTTTTATGGCCCTCTGTAGACAACAGGCATCAGGAATTTGTACAGTGAGCTTCGTGGAAATTAAAGCTAAGGGAAAGAACACAGAGCTGCAAACTCCAGCTCAGTATCTCTACTTTTGAATGTTCCCAAAGCTAAATGAAGTCATCCTTTGACAAAACAAAACAGAGGTTCTCCCTGCAAGTTTAATGAAATGACAGCACAGTATACATAAAAGCATTGATTACAGTGCTTTCCATAACAAAGTAAAGCTTCTCTCTTGAGTAACTTCTGACTAATTCAATGACTCATTTGAATTTTAGTCCCATTTTACACCATTTCAGTCTCACCTATTTAAGAGACAAGAGCAATATTTATCTTAAACAAAAATGTGGACACCCATACACAAACTACCCTAAGATCTCCTGTGCAAAAGGGAGAAATGAAACAAAATCCCCAAGTTTATCAGTTTAAGGGGAATGAGTTATTCCTTTTAAAAATGGGAAATGCCTCACCTTACTGAGCCTTTAACAAATTAACAAAACTGCACCCCTAGCATCTCCTACCAATTCAGTGCCTCCTGGCTCTGCTTCCCATGTCAAAAGCAATTCTGTATCTTTCTTACTTCTATCGTTATCTGATCCAGAGCTTGTCTGTGTGTGTTATTGAACAGAGTCTTCAGAAAACCCATGTAAGGAGGGAGCTGGATTGCCCGCTTACTTAAGCAAGATGTAAAGATTAAAACCCACACAGTCCAAAAGATGAATACAGAGCATTCGGGGAATTAGCTAAGTAAAGGGCTTGAAGCGTAGAAGATAGAATTATGAACATGATAAACTGGGCTGAAGCTGAAGACTATCTGTTCTCACCATGTGAAATATTATAGATATTGTTGGATTGAGCCAGTGAGCAGAAGAATCTATGTAGTACTATGGGTTTCCTCTCGTTTCTCAAATTAAACAGTAAATTGTACCCTGTCATTTCTGAGAATTAAGGTACACGAAGGGCGTCAATGGTGGGAACAAGCAGGCAACTTTCAGTTACCAAAAAAAAATATGTATTACAAAGTCCTCTGTACCTAGAAATGTACATTTCTATCTAAACACTTGGATATGCCACGGCTGTGATGATCACACTGCCAGCTGAAATAAATCATGTGGTAGACATTAGCAAAGTCTACAATCCATCACAGGCGGAAGGCAAGACTGATTAGTGACTTTTTAATAGCTACAGAAAGTCCTGGGGTTTTTATATATATAAATTTTTTATATATATATATATATATATAAATATAAATATAAAAGCACCTGTAAATCAGCTGTCTGCAACATTGCCATACATCAGAAGTCTGATTTTTGGCATGAACAATTCTGTCTGGAAAGTTACCTCATAGCACCTGCTTACCTGCCAGCAATCATGCCAGAAGATTAGTTCAAAGGGAATTCCTCACAAGATAACTTATTCTCCCCAAGTTTAAAAGCAGTGAATATTTAAGCCATTTTAGTATCTGGACCTATGCATCTGTTCATATTAGGAACAGGTTTCAGAGAAGAGTAAGAAAAAAAATGAAAATCCACCTTATTATCAGATTTTAAAAAATTATGAATCTCTATTAAAACATCAAGAAAACTTCATACAGAATACTGTTGCTGTTCTTGACCACAACAGGGCAAGGCTATACCACCTCAAGTAACAGGAATTCCCGAAATTTAGGAACCCAGTCTCTATTGTTTTTTATTTATTACTACACTAGAAACACTCAACTCACAAACACACAGAAATTCAACCTTGTTAGTTGCTTCATTAAAAGAAGAATTTAGCAAAGCCAGAAGAAAATATAATTTGCATACTGTTTAATCTTACTGGACACTAATATCCTTATCACCCAATTATGGTCTTACTCTTTTTTTTTTCCCCCCCAGTGTCATTTTTGTCATTCAGTTAACAGCATCAGTCCCTTGGAGATCTAGTTACAAAGCCAACTGCCATCATTAATTTGACAATTTTTTTCAATAACAGGAAGTGAACAACTCACCTCTATGTACCTTCCAAACTTCATTTATTTCACGCTGTGTTAACATAAGAATTATGATTTCTCTTACAAATCACACTACAGAACAGTGATGTTGCTGATCCACACGCACTGAAGCTGCCACTGTCAAATAAATAATCTGACAGGCAAGGCAATTTTTGCTTAAAACCATTGAAATTCAGTATTTTTAGGCCTAGACGAAACAAAGCTGGAAACTACATCAACTAAGTCTCCGCTAGACTTCCCTGTGTGTTATATGTTTAAAATTTCTGCATCCTAAGCATAAAATAGTGCCTGAACTACCAACACAAAAATTAAACAACGCATCTAATTGTTCTGATACTGGTGAAGATTTTGAAACTGAGGAAGAACATATCTGAAACACGTCCTGGCCTCTACAGTCATGAGACCCAGAGGGAGACAGAGTGCTACCTCCTCATTCATCAGAACCGGGCATCAGGACACCAGGACCAGGAAATCAATACACTTTTTCACGGTAGGAAGAAGACAAAGAAAGAGCATGAGCAGCAACACACTACAAGAGCAGCACATGAAGCCTTGAAGCTCACCTGATGATTCCAGCTCTGCCTCACAGAGCAGTGACATAAGACCACCCTCATTTCTTGTCTACTGGATGGCTGCCACTTCTCAGATTTCTCCATTTCCATCTCAGCTCTCCCACCAAGCTATTTTAGCCTGGAAGCTGCTGCAACAAGGTATACTGTATTCCATGCTGACCATAAGCACATGCAGGTGTTAGCCCCACACTTTTCTGACCTTAGCCTGGCTAATACAGTTGTCCTCCAGACTTGACCATCTCCCCAGGATTGAAGTACCATGCCCGTGCTTCTTTCAGAAAAGGCCCACACGCACACTGTCTTGTGCCTATCTGCAATGTAGCTTCTTTCACAGAGTTACAGAGAACCTAGAAATTATTTTACATGCATCACAGGAAAGAGCTGCACATACAAAGTTACAGTGTAGCAGCTAGGATGTGCAGTTCTGTAAAAATGGCAATCTTGGATCCCGGATGCCACATCACCCTGCACAGAACTGAAGCTTGTGCCAGGATCAATACTCCTGGATGAGGATGTAAGAAAATAACGCACACAACAGTGAAAAAAATAGATAAATATGGCTGGAGATAGGAAAGAATGGTAGTTGTTGGGGCAGGTCAAAGAAAATAAGGTTTTGGGGAGTAGAGGGAAAAGGCAAATATATTCTTAAACGCTAAGTAAGATTAGGGACCTGGCATTATATCCTATTTAGATTCAGCATCCTCTAAAATCAGCCCAGAAAATATTTTTCCCCAAAACTTCTTACTTC